ATACGCTATGAATAGAATCATGAGCGTAATAAATAATTCAGTATTTAGGAGTATGAGAAAGTTTTTAATCCCACATCAACTAAGTCAAATTGTGTAATGGCCGGCATTCTTGGTTTAAGGCAGCAAACTTGCATCTTGGTGACTTTTCATGCACTTTGTGCCATGCTATAACATATATTTTTTTATTTAACGCAAAACATATATTAAATTACAAGAAAATATAGTTTGATTGCATAAATACATTTCAAGAAGGTTATGTATGTTCAAGCCGGATGCCCTGTTTCGTATACATTTGTGTGTTTTAGTATTCTAAGGAGAATTTAAAACTAACGGTTTGGTACTTGTGGTTACTGGAACGAAGTATGCGTGTGCGGGTATTAAATTTGTAATGTGTGGATAAATTTTCACTCGTAGACCTCGCCATTATAATTGTACCAAAGTATGACATCTACAACTCTTTTTCTTCAGCCGGTACACAAACACATTTACACTAGATACCAGTTAAGACACGCGTACAATTTATAAATCCTGCAGACTTCCACCGAAACCTTTAACCTATCCGACTATACTAGAATTCAGCATGCCCCATCGGTGATGAAACGCGCATCGTTTGCTGTCGACAATTGATTATGGCATTTTGAGATTGTAATGGAGTGGCGATAGCTCATTATATGAGGCGATCCCAACTTTTCACTCAACAGACGACCGACAATCGGGGGGCACTCCGTTTCTTTGCCTTGTACAGAATTACTACCTTGTGTACCCGTCGGTAGGGCGGGCTGCAACTCTTCTCGGTGGACTCGTGTCGAGCAAAACTTGACTGCGTAGAAAACGATTTGTGATTGCGCAAAAAAACTTGACAAGAATACGAAAATACTTGTGGGTCACCTTGTGTAAGCTAACCAGATTTCAACGAAATCGACTTATCCACTACGTGGATGCTTGGTACAAAAGCTTTCTGATCACTTGAGCCGTCTCGAATCTTTTGCCTTGTCCTTCGCGTCCTTTCTGCGTACAATCTCAGTCGGAGGGGGCGATAACTCTTGATCCCCAGCCAATAATCTGTGGATACCACTCGATTTCATTAGAGGCCACTTCTTAAACTTCAGGAGGCCAACATTTTAGCCCGGGAGAGAATTCAACGTTTATACTTGAAAACATGTAAAAAAATCCGTTTAAATTTAGCCAATTGGATGATAAAACTACAAGTTTGCCCGTCTCTATAGCAGGATATGCTGCCACGAGCCCTCTACATGCCATTGATCATTCCTTCGCCTTTTTGGTTTACTCCAGATGATCATCGATCTCCTTGATCGATCGAAGATCTCCCCAACCGATCGTCCATCGATCTGTACGGTCGACGATAAATAACAAAGGCTTGGATAATGCTATTTAAAGGTCGCTTCGGACCAAAATCCTCACTTGCCCAGAACGTGGATCTTTCACGGTGCCGCAAACGACTCACTGAAGTTAAAAGGACCACTTCGGGTATCTAACAGACATAAGCGATATGTGCGGGGGAGGACGCCTCGTACTGGACAACATCGTGCACCATGTTAACCTGCTAGTGCGCACGACCATGTTGTTCCGCTTAAGGTAACGCACAATTACTTATAATACCAATCCGAAGTGCTGGCGCAATTGAGCGCAGTCGACAGAAATGGACACCCGTGCAAATAACATAAGGCGCAACTTGGTCATCGTTGTTGATTGAGTAAAAACAAGGCGTTGGATAAGGACGAGCTTAAGGCAAGTCGACTTCCAATGAAGATGACCAGCGCAACGGTTGCGAGTATAAATAAATTGAGCACGGCATGTTTACGTGCCCTCAATTAAAAACAAGGTTCCAAAAGCAAAAATTCACCATATCAATTGTCACTGGTGGGAGTTTACAAGGAAAATATTGGATCCTTGAATGTAGGTCGAGAATACATCAGGTCAATCACCATTATTGACTGATTTGTCAGTCTAAAGGTTTAACGGTAGCATCAAGTAGATACTCGGCGGTTATCAATTAAGGCGTGTGATTAAGTCGCAGTTGTATTTGTGAAGATCATACAGCTGATCCGTGTCCAATTATCGACAAAACGCTAGCTTCTTATTATATCTTTTAGCATATACAAAGCAAAAGGATGGATAGTCTGCCGCTCGCTGCATTTCGATGTTCACCACCTATGAACGTCGATCATAACATCAACGTTTTGGTTGTGAAGGTGATGGGACACGATAGCAAGGTCTTAAGATCATCGAGGAATACTATGATGGCCGTACTAAGTTTATGCGAATACGATTTGAATGCTCATAGTAGTACATTAATGCACTTCCATCGTTCATCAAACCTTCCATTAATTTAGAATACTTTTAAGATGGCCAAAATACAGCGTTTTTGTCGTGCTGACAAATACGACACATTCATGGGCCTTCAAGGATAAACATGATCAGCGGACGCACCACTAGCACGTGAACAGGAACATCTTTTGTAATTTAAAGCTGCACGTCACTCTCCGATAAGCCACTTATGCTAAGTCGCGCTGTCTTATCTATTTCTTCCATACCCGAAAATTTATACACGCCCTGCATGTCCTCTCTGCTCGTAAACCAAACTCCCATTGGCTCATCCCTTTTTTCGCCAGGAAGAGCCGCAGGTCACTCGCCTCGCACTTGGACCCTTGCTGTTTTTATAACCTTTTCGATTCTTCAATTAGCCCACCAAATCGTTCGTGTCAATTTACACGGAGAAATCAATGTTGGGACAACAACGATCGCACAACACAGCGTTACAAAAATGCTACCTGTCTTTGAATTGACAGGTTTTTAAATGGCAACTACGTTGGACGTCAATTTTTGCAAAGCACTAGCAATTGGGTTCTATTAGTTGAACGACAAGTTGATAGAAAAAAATGAAGGAAAGAGGCCAGAAAGAACACGGCGCCCTCTTTCTGTAATTGAAAAATCAGGAAAAAATACGACTTTTTCTTCTAAATTTAACGATTATTCTCAGTACTACGTAGATAGGCCGAAACGAATCGACGCGTCAAGTACAGGTTTTGTCTTGACCGAACCGATCCCAACCGAAACCTGCACCGCACCTAAATCTTGTGTACCAAAATAAATGTAATCTGCATGCTTTACACAGGGTGTAGTTTACATGAATAACCTGTCCAACCCTCAAGATAAGCAAATCGAGGAGCTTAGTTGAAAAAATAACCCTTCGACTTCATCACGTGGATTGCTTTGCTCTGACCTCAAATGTTTGATCAACCCACAAAACCGTTTGAGCAATCGATGCCTAATCGATTTTACTTAGCACTGACCTAACTCTTGCCGTGTAATTTCATCCAAATCCAAGGATTTCGCTGCCCAAGGTACAAGTAATTTTATGTGAATCAAACGAGGTTTCAGTTTAAGATTCACGTGCTGCGAACGGACAAGGGCAGCGCATGTAGGACACCGAATTTATTTAATGTTATGGGCGTCCCATGTCAGGTTGGTGAAGCCAGAAATGGTGAGGCTAAAAGGATGTATCGCACTGGCTCTATTTCTGTGGGGTATGCTACACAGTACGCGACGTATAGTCTCAATTGAAACAAAACCAAATGAACCAAGGTGGAGTGTGTATGATAAACATTTCAGTAGAAGATGGTGTCTCTGCTACACGACAATGTGATAATGAGACTCTGCAAACAGTGCTCATTCTATTTCGATGCAAGATACAAGTCACTTTAAGAACGAGGGAGGGGGCGTCAAGATAATCGGCAATGGTAACGAGACGGAAGGGTGCAAAACGTACACATGTTGCAAAGAAGGTAAAAACGAAGTGAATAGATTGAAGGTCCATAGTTCACTACCCTTAGCTAAGTCTAAGCCTTAATGTAACGAAATCCTGTGATCTCATCATGTAAACGCGATCCATAATCTTCTTCCGTAACTAACACCATGAAATACCCTGACACAGAAATCATTACCATGAACCCAACACAAAACGACTGCATGGAGCGGCGTAATCTCCACCCTCCCACTCGCCTCTACTGTGTGTCGGTCTTGGAATCTGGCTTGGCCTTGATTCTGGTTGCCTCGCATATTAATTTAGTATCTTGGTTCCTAGTGCCTTTGTAAGCATATCCGCGAGTTGATTTTTCGTGTCGATGCTGTCGATCTTCAATATTCTGTCTTGCACATTTTCACGATAAGAGTGATGTCTGATGTCCACATGTTTTGTCCGAGCGTGGTATCCGGCATTTTTGGCCAAAGCAATCGCTCCTTGATTATCTTCCCAGATTTGTGTGCCCCCTACTTGTTCGTGACCCCTGTCCTTTAGCATCGCGCGCATCCAAAGACTTTCTTGGGTGCAAAGAATGAGCGCCATATATTCAGCTTCCGTCGAGCTGAGCGCAACCTTTCGCTGGTACTTCGACTAAAATACCACTGGTGCGCTTGCAATCATGACCATATTTCTGAGACCGAACGTCTATCATCGCTGTTGCTGCCCCAATCAACATCCGAGTACGCCTTTACCTCAACACTCCCATGCCTTGGTAGACGATACCTGTTTGCTGTGCTCTTCAGAATATCTTAAAACGCGAATAGCTGCAAGTAAATGTTGTATGCAATCCAGGTTTCTCCAGAAAACGTGATAGTTGTGTCACCACGTACGCAAAATTCGGCCCAGTACATGTTGTTTTGTATAGTAGGCATCCGATCAAGGAGCGATACGGCTTCGAGCGCATCGCCGAACGTCCTTCTTCCATCGTTGTAGACTGTGCTGACGACAATTCCATTCCTACAGTGCATGGGTTGTCCATGTAGAAGGTCATGACTTATGACGGTGATGTGCGTGTCGTGAAAAGGGCAACTTGCATAGAAAGTGGTCTCCGAACTATCTGGATTGAATTGATCAGTTTAAGAGAGGATATATATATTCATTTTAGCAGTAGTTTTAACTCTTAATACTACTTTCCATTTTGCAGCACAGAGAAGTAGTTGAGCTTTTGTTACAGGTTATGAGCCCAAATACGTTGGCTCCCAACGACATCCTCACGGATGGGAATTACTTTATGTGGGAATTCGATGCACGCATGGCACTCGCGCGCAAGGATCTTTTGGATCACGATTTAGCTAAGCCAGAGCCGGCAGTGCTACGGGAGAATCCCGGATGGAAAGTCGCCGATATGAAGACTCTGGCTGTGCTGGTAAAGCTTTTCTCTCCAACCTATCAGTGTATGGTTCGAGAATGTGAGTCTGTTATTGAGGTCTGGGAGGTGTTGAAGACGTTCTTTGCGAAGAAGATTCTTCACAGCTGAGTGCAACTTCGAAAGGAACTCCGTGAGTTTGTGATGGAGATTGGTACGAATCTAATGGATCATCTACTGAAGTTTGATGAGCTGTGTCTAAAGAACAGGGCTGCCGGTGACAGCATGGATGATAATGAGAAGCTGGTTTTGCTTTTGGAAAGTTTATCATCTGAATACGATGATATGGTACGCATTATCGAGGCACACAGTAACGTGACGCTGCTGGACGTGAAAGAGATGCTCCGTCGTGAGTATGACACTCTTCAGAAGCGAGACAAGAAGGAAACCGCTTTCAAGTAGAATGCTCAGCGCAATGAACCTCGACGTTTTCAAGGGAACCGAGGACACCGTGGGCAAACAGAAAATCAAGACCGCTACCCACGTTCGAGAAGAGGAAAGGCTTATGCAATTTTTGAAGGCAAGTGCTTTGGATGTGGACGGCACGGACACAAATGATCGCAGTGTCGTAACGTGAAGCCATTGAGACCTGGTGATGAGTTTATTTTTTCAGCATCCAGTGACAAAACAATTTCGAGTTCGACTTGGTTGCTGGATAGTGGTGCAAGTCGTCATATGACTGATGACAATTGTGAATTTGTGGAGTACGAAGATTTAACTACCCCAATTTACATTACTGTGGCGAATGGACAGCAGTTGAAGACACAAGGAACAGGCACTGTGCGATTTGTACTCGAGAATGGTCGCACAGTCAAGCTTACGGAGGTGTTACATGTGCCTGGTCTAGACAAGAAACTTGTGTCGGTAGCAGCACTGACGGCACGAGGCGTGTTTGTTCAGTTCAAGCGCGATCAAGCAGCTCTGATGAGCGATAACATGACTGTAGAAGTGATTAGAAGAGTAGGAAAGCTGTTTGCGTGGAATGTTCAACATCATGTCACATTTGAGGCACACAAGGCTGATAGCATTGTTGTTTTCGATGACACTAGTGGACTATGGCATGCTCGCCTAGGTCATGTGTCTGCAACCAAGATCATGCAAGCGATGAAGTCTTGCGATGGCATCCCGAAAGTTGTTGCACCGGATGGCGGTGTATGTGATGGATGTGCACGCGGAAAAATGACAAACAGCCCGTTCAGTCATACTTCAAGAAGTGAAGTTAAGGCAAGCCGACCACTCGAGATCGTGCATGCCGTGCTTATAGGTCCTATGAACTTAAAGTCGAAGGGTGGGGCTCTTTACGTACTCACATTTATTGACGACTACAGCCGATTTGTCGACGTATACTTGCTAGCAGCAAAGTCCCAAGTTTTCGAACGATTCAAGGCATTTCGTGCTATGGTGGAGACGCAAACGGATTGCAAGATCAAGTGCATTTGCAGTGACAATGGTGGGGAGTATAAAAATATCACTTTAACAAGTACTGTGGTGATCTTGGTATTATTCACCAAACGAGCGTGCCGTACACTCCTCAACAGAACGGTTTAGCGGAGTCGATGAAATAAACCCTTGTTGAGATGGCCCGCTCGATGATTTATCACATGGAAGTTATTCGTACATGGTGGGGCGAGGCGATTATGGCGGCTGCGTACACAATCAATCGGATTCCAAATAGTGCACGACCTAACGCAAGTCCATTCGAAACGCTGCATGGATCGAGGCCAGACCTGAGCCATTTTCGTGGTTTTGGTTCAACTGGATATCTACGAGTCGCGGATTGTAAGCGCACAAAATGGGACAGCAAGGCCAACAAGTTCATCTTTCTCTGGTATTCGGAAACGTCAAAGGCATACCGAGTGTGGGATCTGGATAGAGAACAATTGGTCATGACTAGGTCCTTAATTTCAAATGAGCGACCTCCTTCACGATACAAAGATGTCGTTGTTCTACGTGACCCTATTTCTCACTGCAAGAACTCTCATGATGAATGCGACGAAATGGAGATGACCGTACCTTACTCGACAAAGACTGGAGAGGTTGCGGATATGGACATTGATGAGACTGCTGACAATGAACAAAGTTGGGAAGATATGGTTGTGGATGCGTCTGGAGATTTCAATCTGTCACACAAGTTATCTGTTGTTCCGATTGAGGGGGGCACGGATATGCAAGTCATTGCCACCAACGATTCAATGATAGGTCGCACACCACTCGAACCGGTTGCTAGAGGTGGCGATAATCATACGCATACGCACATGTTTCAAGGTTCACCAGATCAGTCGCAAGCTATTGTACTGTGTGACAAACCCCTTCCCCAGGTGACCGACTGGAGATATACTCGGGGTCTAACAAAAGGCCTTATAGTTCGCCAACTCGTCTACTTACTCATGATGATTTTGACGATGAGCAGATTGATTTACCGCTTCTGGCTGATGTTACGCCGGTAAATAGCGAACACGGTGAGCCAGACCCCAAACGTCAATGTGTTGACGGTTACGAAATTTAGCTTTCTGCTACTGATGTACCGATGAATTTACGAGATGCGCTGCAGTCAATCGACGCGGAACAATGGAAAGCAGCGAATAAAGCAGAAATTAAAGCTCATATAAAGAACCACACATGGGACGCTGTCTATCGTCCTCCAGGTGTCAAGGTCATTGGTCACAAGTGGGTATTTGGGCACAAGTACGACGACAAAGGTGATATTGTTCGTTACAAAGCGCGTTTGGTTGCCCCTCGGATATCTACAAACGCATGGTTTTGATTATTTCGACACGTATTCACCTGTCGCTTGCTCAAACACGATTCGTGTGTTCTTGTCGGTTTGTTGCAGTATGCATTATGTGATTTGGCAATTTGACGTGAAAACGGCGTTTTTAAATGGTGATTTGGAAGAAGAAGTCTACATGGAGCCACCCGTTGGAGTCGAGATTGCACCTAGAATGGTGTGCAAACTACGCCGCAGTTTATATGGATTAAAACAAGCAGCAGCGGTTTGGCACAAGAAAATATGCTCTATGTTTTCTGCCATGGGCTTCGAACAATGTCGAGCAGACACGTGTCTTTTTGTTCGACGCAATCATACAAACAATCAGTCACCCACATACATAGTCTTGTAGGTGGACGACCTCCTGATTGATTTCAAGTCAGATGCAGAGGCGGACACGATTTTCAAGGAACTGTCAGAGCATTTTACTGTGAAATCACTTGGGGCTGCGCAATTTACTTTGGGCATGGAGGTAAATTACTCAAAAGAAAAGGGAGAATTGGCGCTAAAACAGACCCAATTAATTCTGAAGTTGGTCTCGAAGTTTGATCAAAATGAAGCTTACGCAGTACGCAACCCTATCTGCGCAGGCCAGGACTTAACTCCGGATGAATCACATCCAGTGCTGAAGGACATCACTTCGTATCGCAAATTGGTCGGTTCGCTGCTGTATATTGCGAACGCAATGCGACCGGACATAAATTACGCGATGTCAGTGCTATCGCAGTACTTGGATCAGCCACGACAGATGCACTGGCGTGCGGCTCTACGCGTCTTGCACTATCTTATGGGAACACAATCGCATGAAATTGCTGTACAAGAAATCAGACGAAAATAAGATGTTGCTTCGGGCATACTGTGATGCGAATTGGGGAAACGATAAGAAGACTCGTCGATCTACGTCTGGTGTGTTGATTCTGCTCGGAGGTGCAGTTGTGGCTTATAGAAGGAAACACCAAACTTCGGTGGCTTTATTCTCTGCTGAAGCGGAATATATGGCATTGGCGCTGGCTACGCAAGAAGTGATGTGGATTCGTTATTTGCTGAAGGAGATGGGTGTGATGTATAAGACTGCGACAACGGTTCACATGGACAACAAGTCAGCGATAAGTATCGCGACGAATCAAGGATACACACCAAGAGCTAAACACATCGACCTCAGGGTGCATTTTGTGCGAGATCACATTGAGCAAGGTGAGATTCAGCTAAAACATGTTCCGTCAGTTATGCAACTTGCGGATTGCCTGACAAAGCCACTTGCTGCACCGCAATTAATGCGACTACGCGATGAAAGTGGAATTCGCGAGAGTGCAAGTTAAAGGGGAGTGTAAAAGGTCACGACTTATGACGGTGATGTGTGTGTCGTGAAAAGGGCAACTTGCATGGAAAGTGGTCTCCGAACTATCTGGATTGAATTGATCAGTTTATGAGGGGATTTACATATTCATTTTAGCAGTAGTTTTAACTCTTAATACTACTTTCCATTTTGCAGCACAGAGAAGTAGTTGAGCTTTTGTTACAGTCCACACTCTTGGCATCTTTTTAGCCGAAGTTCTTGACCACGTCGTTGCTTGCCACTGCTTCATTATAGGTAGTCGGCACATTAGGATCATCGTCAACGCTTACCGCGTTTGCTGTTACAGCTTCTGCAATGAGTCCGTCTTTATTAATGCTAGCACTCTTCGGAGTCGGTGGTTCGTCACTTCCTTCTGTTAATTCTTCTTAATTATTTGAGCCATTCATAAGCAACATCATCGGCTCACGTCTTCCTCTTGTTCGCTCCACTTCAAGTCGGTACACTAAACGATCTTCTTGTTGCATTTTAGGCGGTGGATGATACTCTGCTAGTTGCATCGTGTCTTCAACATGGCGATCGGGAGGCATCAGCTGCTGTGCACTGACGCTTAACGTAGAATCCACATTGTCCATCTCCACGTCTGCGACCGGATCTTCAACATCTTTCATGGGTTCGTCCAGATCTGGCTGTCTATCTTCTTGATGCTGAATCTGTATTCCATCACTGTCCTTCGTCACGTGAACGACCGCTTCCGTAATTAGCACTTGAGTGTGGTAAATGCCGCCCACTTCATGTTCGTTTAACTATATCGAACGCGTAGCTTTGACCTTGCATTTTTAAAGTCAAACACACTTTAACCTTAGACATTTTCTGCGTAGCCGAGGAGCATACACTTGATACTCTTGGGCCCCAACTTTGTTCTCTTCACAATCATTAATATGAGCGATACTCTGCGACCCGAACACGCGCAAGTGGTCCATCTGGGGCTTTATCTTATAAGCCAACTCATACGGTGTCATGTCGAGGTGAGCCGTATTCGTGTAGCGGTTGATCAATTAAATTGCTGTAATAACCGCTTTCGCCTACCATTCAGTTGAAACGCCTTTGTAGTGTAGCATGCTCCGAGATTTCTCCATGATTGTCCTGTTCACCCGCTCTGACACTCCGTTCTGCTGAGGGCTGTAAGTAAGGAAACGCTGATGCACTACGCCGCTCTGTTGAGATATGCCAGCCATCGTCTTGTTGACAAACTCTGATCGGTTGTCGGAGCGTAAACACCTCAAACGATTCTCCATTGGTTTTCGTAAAACCTCTTGTATTCCTTGAACTTGCCGGTCATTTCACTCTTACTTTTGATCATAAAGACCGCAACGTATCGTGAATAATCGTCTTCTGTCGTGGGAATGTATTTGGCACCACCCTTAGAGGATTTCTCATGGGCCCCATGACGTTTGCGTGCACGCGGTCCAGTACACGTGTCACTTTTCGTCATTGAATGTGAAGGAAACGCCGC